TCAGCAGGAGAGGGATAGGATAGACCATGGGGTATCAGATTTGCTCATGGATGTGAGGGGTCTCATCTAGGATTTTGTAAGGCCTTTACTACAGTATGTGAGGAGAAATGCCTACCAGCCACCTTGTGCAGAGGGTGAGCAGCATTTCCCCAGGCTGGGGTCCCAGCTGTGAGCAGGAGGAAGGAGCAGCACCATTCACACAGCTTCCCCTGCTGCTGCATCCCACTCTGGACTTCATCACATCAGCCCTAGAATAAAAGCAAACAAAGGGTCTGGAGACAGGTTACATCAAACTGTACCCAGCACACAGGAAATGAAGCCCAAAAGAAGCACGTGGCTGTTCAGAGGAACAAATGGAAATTAATGGGAATAGAGCAGCCACAACTCTTCCTCATAATTTATTCATATACTTGGTAAGGCTAGCCACTATTAATAGTGGTTTACAGGGAGGGGAAAAAATAATCAACCTTCCCCAAAGGCTGACTGTAGCTCATTTTAGCCCAGGAGCAGCCAGAGGAGCTGGGATCTGAGCATCAGGGTCTCACCAAAATTCCTCCAGCCGACAGGGAACCTCCTGTACATAATGCAGCAATGGAAGTGATCTGTCATTTAGCCAACTGACCAGGCAGGGGACACCAAAACACTGGTAGCTTGCTCCTGTTTTCCATGCTGTTCTGTACAGTATCCATCCTTGCTTTGTTTGCTGCTGTCTCCAGGAGTTAATTCAGGGTCCATCACAGGGATGGGATGCTGGCCTGCATGGAAGCAGCATTGGGCCCTGGCCGTGCTGTGCCTGCAGAGCTCCAGGCATGATCCTGATCCCATGCAGCCACAGCTGGTTGCCCTCACATACGGCCCATTCTGGGACCACCTACCACTGCAGGGGGTTTGGTGGCTCTGAGCTCCATGTTTACAAATGCAGAGCAATGACAGTCAGCTGGGAAGCTTGGGGTGAAATCACTGCTGTCTTTTCCACCAGAAGTGACACCTTCTCTGACTGATGTTTTCCTCCCTCCCTGTTTTGTCACAGCCACACCCAAGGGACCCAGAAAGCCGGCAGCTGGGACAGGTGAGACCTTCTCGTGTGCTTATCATTTAAGCACAGGGCTGGACGTGCTTCCCACGGGGGGTTGAAGTGTGCCAGCCCCCTGTGGGCTGTGTGAGTGCTGCTGCTGCTGCCTTATCAGAGGCGTGGACCTTCACTTCCCGTGAGAAAGCTGGTGGCAGCATGAAGTAAACGCAATATTAATATTTCTGTCCATGCTGAAGGCGAGTGGCAGTGGAGCATTTATGGCCAAGGCTGGATTTTGCACACTTTGCAGTATCCTAATGGAAAAGACACAAATCACCACTCAACTAGAGCGGGCTTTTGTTTCTGGCTGCATGGCAGCTGCTGGCTTTCTTTCCAGGAGGGAGCCCAGAGGAAATTTTCCATCCTTTTTTTTTTCTCCCAAGATATTCCCAACCTCCAGGGAAAGGCCCCAGCCTGGTGACATGTCTCCCTCCAGGGAAAACTGTCTCACCAACTGTTTGTGCCCTTGGGATGTTCTGGCTGGTCAGCTCCACAGCATCTGCTTGGGTTGAGGAAGCTCCCTTAAATTCATCCGAGTTTCAGCAGTTCCTCTGGCTGAGTTCTGGCCACAGACACCTGCTTAAATATAGTGCAGTCATAAGAGCTGGGGGTTGCTCAACCCTGCCAGAGGAGCCTGAAATAAACTGCAGCAGGGAAGCACTTGGAAGTGAACCCGCTCGCCCCTGCATGAGAGTCTTGGCACAAATTAAAGCAGATCTTACTGTCCAGCTCCTTGGTGGCCATGGTCTTTGCTAGGGACAAGAAAAGTCAAGTGCCAGAAGCACGTGCAGGGCTTTGTTGTTTGGATGGCAGCCCAAAGGAGAGGCTGTTTGATCCAATAAACTCTCCCTGGGAAATGGATGCATGCCGAGGCTTCGTCTGGGCAAGTTTCTTCTTCCCCAGGGAATGTTCTTTGGATGAGTGATGGCAATGAGAGCCTCCTGTGGCACGTTCCTGTGCCCTAGCCCCATCTCCTGGGCATGCTCTGCTCATCACAGGGCTGTGCAGGGAACAGAGCATGTCCCACCACCAGCTTGATCCCTGCAGCACCTTCTTGTCTGCAACCTCTGCCTCTTGGGAGGTGCCACAGGAGATTGGCAGGTCTCCCCCTAGAACTGCAGTATTTTGCAGCTGCTCAGGCTGGGCAGCAGCCACAGCTCAGATGGGGAGAGTTAAACAATGGCCAGGCTGATCTGAAGGCTCTGCAGTCTGGTTGTGAGTGGGCAGTGGAGCAGCTGGATGCCCTTTTCAGCTCCAGGCTGGCACCAGTGCTGGTGGCCTCTGGCAGTGCTGCAGTGTTGCTTGCACAGGACAGCAGAGCTGCTGCAAGGGGGGGTGCACATGCTGAAGTCTCACACCATCCCCATGGACATTGGGGGTTTTAACAACCCCTTCTCTCCCACAACAGGCTTTGATTTGGCTGATTACTTTGATGCCCCTCTGGAAACCACCACCAAACCAGCCAAGCCGACTCCAAAGCCCTTCCCCAGGCCGGGGAAGCCAGGTACTGCAGAGCTCCCCCTGCCCCCTGGGGGGTGTTTGCCTTTGGGGCTCCGGGTGGGAGAAAACATGCCCTAAGGTAGTCAGGAGGCTGAGATCAGGCACTGACAGATGAGTTCCAGCATGTTTTCATGACCATCAACAGGTTATTTTAAAAGGTGACCACCTCCTTCTGCTCCACTGTCTTAGTGGAGCCAGCAGGGGAGATGCTCCAGGTTCTCGCTGATGTATCAGGAGGTTTGTCATCAGCATTTAGTCATCCTCCCTCCCTTGCTGCCTGTGCAGCCCTTCTGAGGCTGTATGGGGAGGCTCTGCTGAGCAGCATTTGCAAAAGCTTTTAACCTGAACAAAGCCATTTGCTTCTTCTTGGATGGGAGATTTAATTGCTGAAGTAGAACATCTCAGCAGTGCCTGGTCCTGCTCCTGCATGGTGGAGGTGGCACAGGGCTGCTCTCGGGGTGGTCACGTATCCTACCAGCAACGTGTTGGGGAGGGTGGGATTTCCTGGTGGCCCTACTTGTCCGCTTCTCAAATTCCAGCCCCATTGGCACGTGCTCTGGCACAGGGGATACTACAAGGGCACCCACTGCCAACACCAACGGTTTGAGCATCCCCAGGGCACCAATGGGTGGGGCGTGCCCCTGGTGTTAGGGGAAACCAGAGCATTAAACTGGTCCAGGGCAGCCCCAGTCTCCCTGCGGGGAAGGGCGTCCCTCCCCATCCTCTTCCAAATGCACGTTTAAGAGGGTAACATCATCTTGGTCTCTTTTTTCCCACCTCCCTCCAGACAGCAGCTTTTGGGATGTCATCCACAGCACCACAACCAAGCAGCCTAAAACTACGAGGGGCCCCCCCAAGCCTAACCCAGGTGAGGACAAGCTCCCCAGCCCACATGGCTCCACCTCAGCTCTGCTGCCAGTGTACAGGCTTTGGGATGTGCTGTGATGGCAACACTGCCCCTCCCCCTGGTATTCCAGCCTCTAGTTTGGTCACAAGACATCTAGGAAAAATAAAATAAAGCCCCACACAATACACAGGGTCTCTCAGTATTACCCTGCACTTCCCTGGGGGTCTTACCAAGCAATTGAGTGACAGGCTACTCCAGCTGGCACAGCACAGTCACCTCTGTCCCCTCCCAGGTGTGTCCCCTTGATTTATCCAGTTGCCAGGCACTCCAGCCATGGTGCCAGACCCTTTCTGTGGGAAGAACATGACATTTCTCATGGCAGCAGCGCCGGGTATGAAGCAGGATGGGTTTAGAAGATCTGCCATGATACTGCATAGCTTGTTTGGGGGGCTTCATCTCTCACTGACAAGTTTCCCTGGCAAAGCTGAGCATTTCCTTTATTAGTCAGCTGCACAGCTCCCCAGCCTGTGGCCAGCACTGCTAACACTCACGTTGTTTTTTTAGCAAAGAATCCTATGGATTTTGACTTGGCTGATGCCCTTGATGATAAGAACGATAGGAAAGATGGTGGGAGGCCGGACGTAAGGCCAGGTGAAGGTACGTTGACTTTCCCTCTCCATCCTTGCCACCAGCCACCCTGGGACCTGTGGAAGATCCTCCCCAGCCTATCCTGGGTACAGGCTCTGACTGCTGGACACTGCTCAGTGACAGTAAGGAGAAAAAAAGGTGCTGCCATGTCCCAAGCTCCTGCCTGCAGCCACCACCCGCTGCCCCTGCAGAGGAGGGGGGTTTTTCCTCAGGCCG